TTTATTTTCTTTGTTTTGTTTTTTTTTTTTTTTTTTCTTCGATCCATAAGAACAATATCTACGTATGAAAATTTTGGATTATAGAGAGAGAGAGAAAGGGTTGCGATAGGTAAGTGGATAGAATATAAAAGAAATTTAACTTCGATAAGAAATTAAGAAGGAAAGATTAGTGTTTGTCTTTTTCTTCTTTTTTTTTTCGATTTTTCTTTTCTTCTTTTCTTTTTTCTTTTTTTTTCTTTTCTTTTCTTTTCTTTCTTTTTTTTTTTTTTTTTTTTTTATTATTACGACGAACGAAACAGCAACCACATCTGCCGCTCTCGTCCCTATCGGGAGCTTTCGCACCCGCGTGACGTCACGGTACACAAAGGATCGTAATCCAGAATGGCGTGTGACAATATTAAAATATCGATTAGCCAACGTATGCGACGTATGCACTTTGTCCCTGGCACAAGGGTTGCACTTAAAAGGGCCGGCGCTTGCAATGGATCCTATCCAGGTAGATAGATTGTGGGCGATTTTAATCAGGGACATGTACGGTCATGTGAATCTTTAGAAATTCTTCATATCAATATCCATTTAAATTTTTTCTTTTTTTTTTTTTTCTTTTTTTTCTTTTTTTTTCTATTTTTTTTTTTTTCCTTATTACGCTTGAACGTCCACCTTGCCCCATATAAATGACTCCATTTGTTAATGAACCTGATAACCATACCGAGCGTATGATGATACATTGGGATTATATTAGGATTTATCATTGTTACGTTACAACGATCGACAATAATTACTCTAGACGGACGAATTTAAATTGGAATTATACTTAAACGAAGAACGAAAGGAAACGACACTAACAAAAAAAAAAAAGAAAGAAAGAAAGAGAAAAAGAAAAAGAAAAAAAAGACATAAGAAATCAATCAACGAAATTCAATTATATATTTTCGCTTAATTTAGATGGATTTACATTAACCTGATCGTAAGCTAGAAGTCGGTAGAATCACTTTGAAAATATATTTTTAGCAAGGAATAACTCTTACGAGTGAAACTTTAATATCCATGTACGATCGCAAACGTACACCTTGCGGTCAGTACGCGGTCCCGAGGACAAGATTGGTCAGAGCAATATCTTTCTATCTTTTTTTTTCTTACTCTCTCTCTCTCTCTTTCTATATATATATATGTGTATATCTCTTTCTCTCTCTCTCTCTCTCTCTTTCACGGATCCTTTATGTCGCCCGTTCGTTCGTCCGACCGCAAACATCAAGAATGGACCACCGGGTCCATTAAATTTGCCTCTTGTCTCTAACAAAAGCGTCTTCGGGGAGTTAAAAAATGCAGCTTTATGCCGTTTCTACGAGATAAAAAGAAAACCGAGATATACGAAGTTAAACTCGAAAAGCATAAAAACAAATAAAAAAAAAAAGAAAAAAGAAAAAAAAAATTAATATTAATAAAAATAATAAAAGAAGAGGAAGAAGAGGAAGGAAGGAAAAAAGAGAGAAAAGAAAATAATAAAATAAAATGAAAGCAAAAGAATAAATAAAGGAAAAAATACAAAAATAGAGTTGGAAGATTCGTTGATGTACAACATAGAGGAAAAAAATAGAAAGAGAGAGAGAAAGACAGAAAAAGATAAAAAGAGAGAGAGAGAGAGAGAGAGAGAGAGAGAGAGAGAGAAGGAAGATCAGGATGTAACCAATTCGCAAGCAATTCTCGAGACGCCTCAGGCGGTCCAAGAAAACGGGATACGTGCGAGAGAAAAAGAGAGAAAGAAAGAGAGAGAGAGAGAGAGAGAGAGAGAGAGAGAGAAAGAAACAGGGAGAATCCTTCGTGGACTAAGAAGGGGTCGGAAAGAAACCATAAAGAGCAGCTGGTTGAAAAACCTCACCCGCGACGACGAGAATTAATATTCCAGACAAACGTGACAGATAGATCAAATCTGCATCACACCCGGAGCGCTCTCTGGTGTCAATTTCAACGGATTATCGCTTCCTTTCTCCTCTTACTCCCCTTAGCCCCTTACTCCCTATCCAACCTCCAACCTCCAACCTCCACTATCACTACCACCATCAACCCTCCTCCCTCCCTCGATCCAACTTCTCAAATCTCCTCATTGCTAACTTCCCTATCTAGCTGATATTTTTTTTTCCAACTCTTCGAATCTGTCCAACATCTTCTTTCTTTCCCTTTTCTCGTTCTTTTTTTCTTTTTTTTTTTTTTTTTTTTTTCCTAATATAGATATATATATATATTGATATGTATCTTGATATCATCGTTGTTACTTGCAATATGTATTGATATATAATATTGAAATTGATATATTATAAAACGTTCGATATTTTATTACATAAATATATATATATATATATTTTTGCTTTTTAATCGTCGAAAAAAAAAAACTAACGAATTAAGTTAAAAATTCGTACAATGTATTTTTAATGTTTTAAATAACACCGTCGAATAAGACAAAACGTTAGATTCAATTGTACTTAAAAAAATTAAATTAAAATATAACTTTTTTTTTTCTACATTATTATAATATCTAATAAACTAATTTCACTCTTTTGCATTAGATAGTTCACGAACAAATACATACATACACAAAAATACACACAGTCTTTCTGATACATACGTATTGAACAAATTTTAACGTTAAACATTTTCAAAAGAAATAAGCTAATCGATAACAGGTATGGTCTAATAAATTTGAAAAGGTTTACGGGGCCCTGGACCAGGTCGATAATGACGATGACGATGATGATAATCAGGGTCCTGTTGTCATCGGTTGATCTTACCTGGGCACACGCAGGGAATGAAACTAAACGAAACGAAAAGAAACTAAACGATATGAGACGAGAGGAGACGAGACGAAGACGACACGAGCAGGCACGCACGTTCGTACGTTATATACATGGCTCGTGCGTACCACGTGGCCAAACAATAGGAAGATTCTAATTAGGCTGCTTCGAGTTGGCCGGTTTGTAAAGTGAAAGAAAAAAAAAAAAAAAAAGAAAAAAAGAAAAAAATTCTGACAAAAAAGACAACGAAAGGGGCAGAACCAAGGAATATAATATAGTGTGTGTATGTGTGTGTGTATGTGTGTATATAGGAAAAGGGACGAGCACGAGCTTCGCTCGCGTTCTGCTAGAAAAAAGGGGTTAACTCTTACGACAAAACGGATAGCTATGGGGGAGAAAGGGGTGCTACCGTGCTTCACGCTTCGTGATGAAGCCTTTAAGGATAGGCTCGGTTGATCCGTCGGTCGTGCGTACCGAATAAACTCGATCCTTCGTTGAAATTTTTTTAGATATACGTATGTGTATATATATATATATTTATATGTATCTGTATGCAGCTAAAAATATCTTAGATTGATTTATAAATAAGTGTATAAATATTATAAAAAGTTTGTTATAATAAAGTAACATCTATTTAGAATTAACTTGACATTAATGAATTAACAATGTAAAATTGGGATTCTTATTATAAAACGTTTTGATTATTAAATATCATTTCTTTCCTTGTTTTTCTTCTTTTTTTTTTTTTTTTTTTTTTTTCTATGAACTTCCTACTTATATCAGTACTTATTTATGGATTAATTCAACTTAATCTGAATGTTTAAAATTTAATGTCTTTTCGGTTCAAGAATAGATTCTATCAAATCGACAAACGAAAAGAATTTATCTTTTCTAAATAATTACTTTCCATATCGTCATAATTAAGATAAACAAATAAAATTAATTGACAACGAATTTTAGAAATGATTGATATTATCATCTAATTATACGATCATTTGATCGATTTCTCTTTGTGATAATATTTCTAACAAATTCGAACTTCAATATAGGCTATATTTTTCTTATCAAGAAAAAGAAAAAAGAAAAAGCAGAAATGAAAACGGAGAAAAAAGAAGAACGAAAATCATCGAACGCGTAACAAAAGAAATTGGAGGGAATAAAGAGAGTGTAAAATAAAGATAATAAAAAAAGAAAAAAAGAAAAAAAAACGAAAAAAAAAAAAAAGAAAAAGAAAAAAAAAGGTTTTTGAATCGAATGTGAACACCCGCGCGTTAAACCTATCGACAATGCAACACGATGTGATCCCTTCGAGGGATATAGATGATTTGCGGAGGGGTGGTAGAGGGAATTCAGTCAGGTTCAACCCCGATCTCAAAGCGGGCGGTTTAAATTCAAAAATCGAATACACCGCATCGACATTGTTCGTGTTCGTTGAACCAAGTCCGACATCAGATGGTCGATCGTGAACGTACTTTAAACTCCCCACCCCATCCTCCCCCTTACACATCTTTCAAAACTGTTTTACGTTTCGTTGTTTCCCTACCGATAATTTTAAATGACTAAATTTTTACTATTTCACATTTACATATGTATACATATATATATATATATATATATATATATATATATATATAACGTACGATATGTCCCTATTCATTTCCAAAAAAAAAAACTTTTTCGGAAAAGATCCTTTATTTCTATTGGAAATGAATAGTTTCGCTTTAAAACATTTTCACGTGATCTAATTAAGAACGATTAATTAAAGAACGAACTAATTAAACGAATTAGTATAGCGACCAATCATATTTAAGTGTTCCTCCTTAATGAGAGCCTACTAATAAAAGTACTGATAAATTTAAAATGAACTGATACGCAATTTTTAATCTTTATCATACTACGTCACAATCAGATAACATTTTTTCCTTTATCTTATTCTATGAAGCAATTAGATAGATACGTATGTTTTATATATATATATATATATATATATATATATATATATATATATATATATAGGTACACGAAATAACTAAAAAAAAAAAAAAGTAAAAAAAAAGTATTGAGATATTTCAGTAATGTATATGCGACTCTATTGAAATATAAAAAAAAAAGGAGAAATGTAAAAAGAAAAAAAAAGGAGAAAAGAAAAGAGAAAAACTATAATACGTAAGAGAGAAAAAACAGCTGATTTATGTCAAAATGTATTCTTACCGGAATTGACGGTATTGGTATCGGCATCGACGGACTCGGTTTTTTGCTTCTTAGGAAGTTCCTCCTTGTCATCGTCGATATCCTCCGTCCGTCTTTTCGGCGTCGAACTTGCACTAGCTCGAAGCTCGATCGGACTTCCGGTATCCGGTGCCGATCCCTGAGGCGTTGGTGGACTTTCAAGTCTACCACCCCTCTTGTTGATCGGCGCGGAAATACTTGGTACCGAATTTAGTTTTGAATCCTGATCGGTACTTTTAAGGGCAAGGGCGTCCTCAGGATCGGAGTCCTCTGGTGCTGCCGTTGCCGGAGGACTGTGACATCCTTGGAGAGTATTGCGACAATGATTGACCTTGTGCTCGATAAATCGAACTATCTCACCAAGGGGATAGGACGCCCTACAACCTCCGCATTGGACGGTGTCTGGGGACGTACTACTTTGCGAAGTTTCCGCTGAAAAAGCAAGAAAAAAAGAAATATATATATATATATGTATGTATGTATGTATGTATGTATAATATATATAAACATATATTTTCAATTAATTAACAATTTATTTTATATCCTGTATAAGCGTAGGGTGTATGTGCGTTTATGCAAAATCATTATAATATTAATCGATTATAATTAATGCATAAAACGAGTACGATAGATCGTCATGAAGAAAAAAATTTATTAATTAAATTTCTCCTATTCAATATCTTGATAATTGTAATTAATAAATAAATAATTATTTTCATGATAATTATATTATCAGGATAAAAGGAGAAAGAGAGAGAGAGAGAGAGAGAGAGAGAGAGAGAGAGAGAGAGAGAAGAGAGAAAGAAACAAGTATCTCTCGAAATGATAAAAGATTCACTTTCATATAGAGTAACCCTTATAATTTACTAATGTTGAAGGGTCAGACGTTATCCCGAGGTCAACCGCAGACGCAACAATTCACTTTTAAGTGTCCTCGAAGAGGCCACCAAAGGAGATTCCTCCTAGAAGCAGTCTGGGACATTAACATAGAGATTGGCAAGAGATTCATACATCGATCTTTCCCTCCGACTGAGTCAAGTATCCATATCCATCCGGATGGGGTTGCCAGCTCGATGAGAAAATAAGAAAAATTCACTCTGTCTCTTTTTCTCTTTCTCTCTCACACACACACTCTTTCTCTCTCTTTCTCTGTCTCTATGCCCATCACGATGCCATTCTCTTAGTATTTTCTTTTCTTTTTTCCTTCTCTGTCTGTTCTTCGATCTCACTCGTTTTTCGAACTAGAACTATCAAGAACGTTTTCTCTTTTTAGATAGATAGATAAAAAGTAAGAGAACGAGAGAGAGAGAGAAAGAGAGAGAGAGAGAGAGAGAGAGAGAGAGAGACAGAAAGACATTGTTCTTTCATTCATCTTTCTCTCTCTCTCTCTCTCTCTCTCTCTCTCTCTCATTCTCTATCTAACTCTATCTTTATCTCTATTTTTTTCTCTTTATCTCTATTTCTTTCTTATTACTTTTCATTCGACATCCACTTGTTTATCATTTATTTTTAATCTATCTCTCTCCCTATATCTCTTTCTTTCTCCTTCTCTCTCACTCTCTCACTCTCTCTCTCTCTCTAAAACACGAACTCCTTCATTTCTTTTTCCTACCCTTTCTAGGTGCGCCAGCTCGGTTCGATTCTTTCTGGGCGGAGCTCTCTTGACCATTGGCCAAAGCGCAAACTCGTTTCGTTTCACAGTCTTCCCTCTCCCCATTTCACTCTACCTCTCTTTCACTCTCACTCTCGCTTATACTCTCACTCTCTTTCTCTTTCTCTCTCTCTCTCTTTATCTTTCTTTCTTTCTTTCTATTTTTCTTGCTTTCTTTCACAATCAAAAGAATATTAATCAAATGTTAAACTCTACACTCTTGAATCACACTGATTCTTGAATTGAAGACGTTAATTAGATTGTAAAGATAGGATTAAAGAAAAGATTCCGCACGCACGTCCTTTTTATTTCTTTTTTTTTTTTTTTTATTTTTTTTTCATTTTCGCCGAAGAAAAAATCTGAAGATACAACTCTCCTCTTTCACCGGAAACGTACCTGAAAAAAAAGAGGGTGAGAAAGAGAGAGAGAGAGAGAGAGAGAGGGAGAGAGGAAGGGGGAGGGGGAGGAGAGGGAAGGAGATATACTACTTCGACGTGAAAGAGAGTGTTAGATCTTAATCGTTACTTTTTTTCTTTTTCCTTTCTTTTTATTCTCTCAAAGAAACGAACGAGCGGAAAGAAATAAAAAAAAGAAAAAAAAAATATATATATATATACGTATGTGTGTATGTGTGTATAAAGAAAGATAGAGATAGATAAAGATAGTTGATATAAAGAAGAAAATCGTTGATAAAAATTTGGGACACACGAACGAATAGTAATCCTTACTGCGAGGGTATACAAATAAAAGGAATGAAAAAAGTTTAGGGAAAAAAAGAGACAGATTGATTGATAAATAGGTAGATAGAGAGAAAGAGAGAGAGAGAAAAAGAGCAAAAGTGACGAGAGAAAGAGGGAGAAAAAAGAGACTAAAAATGACGAAGAAGAGAGAGAGAGAGAGAGAGAAAAAGAGAGAGTAAAAATGACGAAAGAAAAAGATGGCCGTTCCGATCTCTGAATGGACCTTGGGTCCGTTATTCGCCTACGATTCAAAAGCGCTCGGTTAGAAACAAGAGACGCGCGACCGGTCGTTAGCGACAATGGGCTTTTGTTTTTTCGGGGGCAGATGTTGAACGAAAACTCAGAGGAGAGCGACGGAACGGTCTACGACCGCTTACTACCCTACGAAAAACTGTCTAGGGTTGTAGATAAGTTATAAGATGTCCTCCTCGAAGGAGAACAAACCTAGAATAGAGACTCTTCTCTCCAATCTTATTTCTAATCTATTTTTTCTACTTTCTGTGTAAGTAAATTGAACGAGATTTTTTTTTCTCTTTTTCTTCTTTTCTTTTTTTCCTGTTTTTCCCCCCTCCCCCCCTTTTCTTTTTTCTTTCCTTTTTGTTTTTCATCCTCACGAACGAATTTACACATTCGTTGATATGTCTTATATAAATTGGAATTAACGAGTACAAGTATATCCCCTTTTAAAATATATTCATGGATATTATCGATGAATTATAATTATAAATTAAAAATTAAACAATTTATAAGAATAAATTTGACGATTATCCGTATATTAATTTAATATATATTAGATATATTTAAATTATTAATTTATGAATTAAGTAAACGATTTATAATATTATTTTATATCTATTATATATATTTAAATTAGTAATTTATAAATTAAATAAATAATTTATAACGATAAAGTGACAATAATATAATATATATATATATTAATATTCAATGGTCGATATTAATAAAGAAATCAATATTTTGAAATTCTTATAGTACAAACAAAATACAATTGTAATGTATAAAATAGTTACATTTGTTAGATATATTTACTACGTCCATGAAAAAAAAAAAGAAAATAGAAAAAAGAAAATCAAGAAAGATAGACATATCTACGCGTTATCTCGATATACTCGAATATAATCGATTCAAGTTTCGAAGCTTGAACAAAGTTACGACATGTGATAGTAAGAGGGTTGTGGTCTCTCTAATATATATATATATATATATATATATATATACAAAAATGAGAGAATCAGTCGATATCACGAATGCTCGTCGAAAAAGATAACATAAAAATCCAACATTGCCCGACGAATGTAAGTTGGATTGCTTACAAATTGGTCCATACATCTGTAATATCTCGATCACTTCTCCCTTATAGTGTGTAGACGAGAGAATGAGAGAAAGGAAGAAAAAAGGGAGGGACAGAGAAAAAAAGAGAGAGAGACAAAGAAGTCATAATTTCCATTGATATATCAGGAATATCCAGAAAAAGAAAATATTTCAAAATTATTAACTCTCTTTATCACAAATCTATTCCATGGATATTATCGATGAATTATAATTATAAATCAAAAATTAAACAATTAATAAGAACAATTTGACGATTACCTATATATTAATTTAATATATATTGGATATATTTAAATTATTAATTTATGAATTAAGTAAACAATTTCTAATTGTTTACTTAAAGAATTGAACGCTTAAAGAATTGAAATAAATTATACATGTATATGTATATATATATATATATATTTTTTTTTTTTTCTAATAAATTATTTCATACTTTCAACTTCGTTAATAGGAATCAAATGTTCGAATAATTTCGAAAAATTCGACGATAAAATTTCAAGGAATAAACGATCTTTAGACGTTTTCTTTCTTTCTTATTCTTCTTCTTCTTCTTTGTTTCGTCATGAAAAATTTACGTACAAAAAAGTTGATATAATTCTTTCTCCCTCTTCCGCACTCTTTCACAATCCTTACCTAGAACTATTCTCTTTTCCTCTTCACTATTCTAACGTTTCCTAACGCACACGAGTAATGTGCCTTCGTAGCATAGAAGAGATATCCCGATAACTTAGAGTACCTACCTATCTATCTACCAACCGCAAAGATATCCCGAGGCAATGTCCTTGTTAGGACATCCGTCCCGTCAAAACGTCCAGAGGACACATCGAAGCAATTGAATTACGATCATCCCTAGGGCAAGCCCCAACCGTAACCAATAATTCCATTATCCATTAGTATTGGGTCGCACCAATTTCCTTCTACGAGTAGCATGATAGAGAAGAGAAGATAAGAAGAAGAAGAAGAAGAAGAAGAGAAGGAAGAAAAAGAAATAGAAGAAGAAGAAGAAGAAGAAGAAGAAGGAGAAGGAGAAGGAAGAGTAAGAAGAAAAGAAGGATACGTGTACTTTGTCGATCGAGAGAAAGACGAACGTGGTTGAAAACGAGAATATCGAAGAAAAATTTTCAACCTTACGGATCTTCTTCCGTGACATATCGCCAATCGAATCAACGTCGAAAACAATATTTCTCAAAGAAAAATTTAAAGAAAGCTTTTTTATATCAATTTACTTAGTAGTTGTACGAGTTCGTACGTTGTATACGTTGTTCGTTTCGATAAAATGAGAATTTTTGTAGAAATACAATTGGATCGGTACGTTTCTATCGAAAGGATTTGATTAGATTTTTTATTCTTTCTCCTTTTTTTTTTTGTGTGTGTATTTTGTTCTAACGCGCGAAGTCCTTTTCTTTTTTTTTTTTTTTTTCTTTCTTCCTTTTCAATTTTTCAAACAATATAATTGCAATTTCTTCGAAATCTCGTATCTAATTCGATTAAATTAAATATCTGATATCTTCTTTTTTTACATCTTATTTATATAGAAATATATGAGGGATAAATTAAAAAATTTTAATGTTCCAAAATTATTAAAACGTACTGTTGTTTCTATGTTTCTCTTAGATAATAAGTAAGTAAGTAAGTAAGAAAGTAAGTACTTAGAATGATCATCAAAACTAAATTCTAAACATTAA